GAATTATTTCTTTAAGCGGCACTAATTTATACTTACCAAATACTTTATTGTCGTAAATACGATAAAGAAATCAAATCATCACTAAAGCTAAGTATTCTTCATTTTGTTACTAACTTTTTCCTTCTAATTTTATCCGCTTTTTCAACTTTTGAAAATCTATTAATACATGACAGGTTCCAGGCCTGCGATGACAAGCCTAAATCTCAAAAGAGTAAGTCAACTGTTCAAACACGGACAGTAATTATTGCTTGTGAATTGTGCTCGACAGGTCTTTGTCTGTACGAAAATTCCTTCAACTTTCCTCTAACCCATCTACCTCAAACAGTTAAATAAGTGCGCTAAAATTTTGATTCTTTTCTTAACCTTCTAGTTTTCTGTAGTTCGAATGCTATTTTATTTCAGCACTTTTACCTTGAAAATTGATATTTTTACCACCAGCTGCCTTCATTTTTCTTGATTTAAGCTCTTTAACTTCTATTTTTAAGCTTTTAAGATCCTATTGCTTAACGATGTTGCTTCGCCTTCATACTTCGCATAAACTTATAAATCTGAAGCAAACGCGGTGCAGTTCGCAAATAATTGCTTTTCATCTGCTATTTTAAGCTTTCATTTTCCACCCATGTTGCCCCATTTGCTCTTTTTCTATCACGGTAGCACACAGCCGTTTTCGTAATATTGGTGGAGAAGCGCAAGAAAAAATCTCCTGCGTAAAAAAACGTTGCAAATGCACATTTTTTTATTTATTTTAGTCGATGACTAAATATCTTAGAAATTTGCAGATAGGTCAAAGAATTGGCATAACACAAATATTTTTAGGTTGATTAAAACGGTCAAGAAACGCCAGATTATGAGCTGCAAGATTTAAAAAAATTTGGACCGCAGAGATGAAAACAATTTAGACATAAATGAAGAATGGCCACATACGTAGTACCTAGTGGCTTTACAGTGCCTTCCAGCGCGCAAAAATACATAAGTCAGAAACTGCTGTTTATTAAGAAAACCTTGAAAGATGTACGTGCGTATAGAATCTTTTAAAACTGTTAATCATGAATTACACGCAATCGAAAAACCCACACGAAGAAAGTTGGAGAGAAGCCACCAACGAAGAAATGAGGCTTCGTGGCCGTATGGTAAAAAATCAACAATAAGCAGGCCGAAAAACAGTTTGCAAACAAGTAGCTGAATTGTCAAACCAGACAAAAGAATTATCAGAACGACTTCTATTGACCACACCCTGATTTCTTTTAGGTTTAAACTACAACACCTCTGTAATTAATATGAGACCTGTACTGACAATTCAGGTCAAGCCTCGACAGATTCAAACATAGATCAAAAACTTGAGTTCACAGATTCTTACAGCACAATACATAGTTCACTAATTTCAGATAAAGTAATTCATAAATTCAACAGAATGGAAGACCAATAAAAAGACTAAGAGAATGCTATATCAGCATAAGAAAATAAAAAAGACTCGCAAGGGTTACCAAAGATCTCACTCTCAGCAGTTGCCTCGGGTTTTCTGAGTCTTAGAAGACTTATAATCTGTAGATCACAGAAGTAACAATGAGAGCCTGCTTGATACTGTTCTTGATTGGAAGTTATTAAAGAGGGATATTTACGAGACACTTCTGCGGTAAAAATACCTGTAAGCTACAAAAGCTGCTATAACCAATGTGGTTAAAGACGCACTGGCACAAAAACACATTCTTCCATGTTTTCTTCTTAGTTTTTCCGCGTGGGGTGTACCGGACGCGGATGTGCCTGAACTCGATCTTTTAACCTTCCCAATTACATAATCCTTGGCCATCGATACAGCATCATTCGAGTGCCCTACATCTATGAAACCACTAGATCCATCTCCTCCACAGTACGGCATCAACACCTTTAAATATAACAGTTAAAAAAAAAAATGAATGACTTAGAAGGAAACAAAGGCTAAATATTTGTACTTCCAATTAATTAACACAAACGTCATTTAACATTACTTGCGTTTACACTTTGTTTTTTAAGATAATTTAAAAATTATGATATGTTATATATTGAAACGAGTTCTATTACACGCATTTAAAAAAATTTTTAATTTTACTGGATATTTTAGTTAAAAAATTTAGTAGTTCTGATACTGCCACAAAAAAAATCCCACATCATGCAATATTTGCAGATTTCATTCCTATAACAACCACCGGACAAAAGTAAAATTAGCATCTTTAACGCTCATAGAATTTAGAGTTTGAAAGAACTGTAAAATTAGCAGTCAACGCAAAATCTGCACCCCCTGATTGTGTGTTAAACAGCTTCTTGCTGCTGAAAGCCTGCGGAGACAAGAAAGTGTGAAACTAAAGGTCGCACTAAAAACCACGATCAAGTTAAAGAACAAGTTCACAGAAATCACCAAAGATCTATTTTTCGCAGAGTCAGTAACCTTCAGTATTTTCAGTGAAGGTGCTGAAAATTACTGGTTCTTATGACTCCTACCTTTTCGAAGAATATGCACATATAGAAGTTACGAGACGACAAGTTACAACTTAAAGTTGTTCAAGGAAAAATATCTGCTAGTTCTAGTTGAATGATGCGTTTCTGTGGTTACTGGTAAATATTAAAATATAAACATTTTTCTATAATTTACTCAGCAAATAACATTTAAGTGCTATAAAACCTTGCTCATGCATTGGTGTAATGAAGCATTCATTCCCTAGAGTTCCCGCTTCTCAATACAAAAAGTGAAGTGAACATAAACCCTTACCTCCAGTCATAAACTAGTGTAACAAAACGCTTAAAACATCCTAAATGCCTTCAGCGCTAAAATAAGAAATTTCATATCAATTTCATGAATATACCTCATCGCCACCAGGATGTTCATTCAAGAACTTTGTAATATCCAGAACGTTATCTTCTAAAATCATCCAAGCTGAACCATAGTTATCATGTTTAGCCACCTCTTCCACGGTATATTCACGTTGTTCTCCCGAGTGCTCCATTGCTTCTCATACCATTTGAGCCTCAAAAGCCAAC